TGCAAAAAGTCAAAAACTGTAGTAAAAATCAGGTTGAGAATTACTAAGAACAGCACCACAGCATCTAACTGTATAGCTTAGAGCAGTGTTTCTCAACCTTGGCAACTTGAAGATGTCCGGACATCAACTCCCAGAATTCCCCAGCCAGCATTCGCTGGCTGGGGAATTCTGCGAGTTGAAGTCCAGACATCTTCAAGTTACCAAGGTTGAGAAACACTGCTCTAAGCTATACAGTTAGATGCTGTGGTGCTGTTCTTAGTAATTCTCAACCTGATTTTTACTACAGTTTTTGACTTTTTGCATTGTAGCGATGTATTCCACTGAAAGCAAAGCACTACAACCCAGTCCCAATCTTGCTGCTGCAAAGTGAGAAGACAGTAGTTGCCTACCAAATGTTTTTATTTCCACTATCTTTCTTTCCTTGGAATCTTGCAAGTTACATTCACAATTTTTGATATCACAAAAGCTACTTATTCATGTAGACCCCTTGAGCTACATAAAGATGCCCATCTTAGTCTGCAGAACACATTTAGGAAGCAAATTTTAGGAGAACTTAAAATGTCTGGAAATTTAATATGGGAGAAGTGGGTGCATATGACTCACTGCTGCTCTGGAGCATGATTAGATGCCAGATGTAGTGAGTGAGTCAGTAGTGAGATAATTTTCTCTGATGAACCACAAGATCACTGATCATGATAAGCATGGAACTCTGCTATCCAGTCCATCAAGCTGTAGAGAGGGTACTGAGAATAGTAGCTGCCTGTCATAAGATATGTCTGCTGTCAAATTGAAAAGACTGTTTACCTGCAATAGTAAAAGTTTGGCTTCCAAGTTGACTATGATCCAGTAGATCGTCAGGTGCAGCACACAATGCATCCTGCTCTCCACTATATTTCTTTCTGTTGCTTCTCGGTCTTTGCTTTTTCACTACTATGACCTCCAAATGTTAGCTTTTTTCCTTGTTAGGCTCTGTTTCTTTATCTACTATCTAGTTGCGTACATTTGTGTTCCCAGCTGTTCTACTTGCTCTGCAATCCTGCATTATTTTTCCCCTCTCTGTTTTTCTTGATTTTTCTGAAGAGAGGTGGGCTTTTTTTTATGTATCCTAATCTCTCATCTGTAACTAATTCTTCCTATAAAACAACTCTTCAACTTTTTTGCCCCTCAGGTACTGTAATATTATTTTCATATTATTTTTCTAAGACAATAGTTCTGAAGGCTACATAAATCCTGTTCTCAAATTATATTCCTAGGACTTAATCTGCAATCCCTTGTTGCATTTTTTCCACTTAATCCACCTCTATCTTTTTTAAAATGTGCAGAATTAAGTACAGTACTTGAGGTGGGATATGACCAATGCCAAATATGATAGAATTATTCCTTCCAATGATTTAGAAAGTTTACTTCTACTGAATGAACCCAAAATTGCATTTCACATATTGCATTCTCCTAAATAGGTGAATTCAATTTTGCTACATACTGCTACAATTTTGCTACGTACTGCTAATTCATACAATATTTCAACTTGTGATCTATTACTGGACTGGAATAATTTCCACTTGCTTTACTGATTTCTTTTTCTTCTATGAAGACCTTTGCATTTATCTCTATTAAATTTCATTTTATTATTTTCACTAACCTATGAAGATTATTCTCAATGGTATTCCAATCTCCTAGAACGGAGTTGCAAAAGTGCTATTTGGAGGCTCCATGTGGTCTGTCCCTTTTGTTGTTCACAGATCCGTCAATGCGTGGGGCCAAAAGCCTCATTTGTGCACTTGGGGGAGGATTTAAAAAAAATAGCCCAAAGAGGTCCTTAAGTCTTTCAGATTCTTAAGACTCCAGTTTCATCCCATAACATTCATGAATGCCCTTTGCTCTCTCCTCTTTGAGAGGACAACCCAGGCCTAAGCAGACTTTTAAGCTGATGTGATTGTGAGGGAAATTTTACACTATTAGCTTGCCTATCCAATTTCCTATCTCCTTCAGATTTGATGATAATTCGGTTTATCTCTCCAACTCATTAAAAAACGCTGGAAGAGTTCTATTCTCAAAAGAAGGCCCTGTTTGTATCACACGTGGGCACTTGATATGACTTCCCAGAACAGAAACAGCCACCAAGTGAAAAGTTGTTTTACACTTTTCAACTTCATTCTGTGATGGGCACAGATTATAATTGTAGGATTGTCTTTCACATAAGTATGGGATCAAATGTGTGGGTCTTCTAAAAGAAGTTAGTGTTAATTATTCAATTATTTCAAGACCAGATTATTTGAAGGAGATTTCTGGAGAGAACTCAGGCAATTACCCCACACAGTTCTATCTTCAGTGGCATCTGTTCAGGCTTGCATGTGTTTGTCTCAGAGAAAAAAACAGTGTGACATAGAGCAGCCCACACATATCCTTCAAAGGTTCGGCCTACTCCCTGTGTTAAGCATTTCCTTCTCTTAACTTTAAAATATAAAGGATGTAGCTCTTCAAGTGCACTTATAGACATGAGCTTCAAATTTGGTTCCCATAGCCTTACATTTATTTCCCCTAGCCCTAATGCAGTGGCGTGCAGGCAGGGGAGGCAGGGGAGGCGCAGCCTCACCACTGTCAATCATGAAAAGGAAAAAAAATGTAAACGGGAAAAGGCAAGTGCTGAGGTTAGGCTAGCTAGCTGCTGCCACACTGTGAATGACTGCCTATTTAAAAAAGCCTCTAAAAAGCGCCCTCTACTATGAGGCAGGAGAACTACATGCCTCATCTAGTCTGTGTCTAGTTTTTAAGCGCTCGAGCAGAGTTAAGCGAGGGTTAAAAGCCTAAAAAATTCTGAGGTAGTTAAGGCACGCAGTTCTCCTGCCTCATAGTAGAGGGCGCTTTTTAGAGGCTTTTTTAAATAGGCAGTCATTCACAGTGTGGCAGCAGCTAGCTAGCCTAACCTCAGCACTCGCCTTTTCCCGTTTACATTTTTTTTCCTTTTCATGATTGACAGTGGTGAGGCTGTGCCTCCCCTGGCTCCCCTGACTGCACGTCACTGGTTTCTCCCATCTTTTCCTTCAAATCTCCTTTTTTTCTTTTTTTCTTTAATAAATGCAATGCTCAGGCATTCTCTCTTCTCTCGCGACACCACACTGACTAAAGCACTTTCTTTAGCCCGCCTGAGCTCGCGGCAGCCCGCCTGAGCTCTGCCGCGAGCACAGGCAGGCAAAAGAAAGTGCTTCAGTCAGTAGGGTGTCGGGGGAGAGGACTGCCTCACCAGCCATAAACCTCACCGCATGTCACTGCCCTAATGCAACTTTTCAGGAGCTTTTTACATGCAAAAATAAATCCCTTCCTTAAAATGGAGCTGTTAGTAGATAGGAGTTAGTTTTAAGGAGCCTGTTAGATAGTCCAACGAAATTACTTTTTGGTCTGGGTCCACAATAAGTACTATGAATTATGCCTTCTCCTGGGAATTTTTAAACCAACTGATGGATTTTTATAGTTGCTTGTTATTGAATCAGCTTCCAATGAACAGCTTCCATTAAAATATGGATCTTTATTCAGCAGAGAGGGATATTCACAGATAGAGAAATCAAACTGTCTGGTATAAGATAGTCAACAAATGCAAGCAGCATCCTGGACTCAACTTTTGAATTCTGTCCATTTACTAAAAGTTTGTTACTGAAGAGGATTTTGTATTGTGAAAGATTTAGCTGGCCAAAAAAAGGTAATACAAGAGCCAGATTCGGCTGGAACCAGGAGAGAGTAACCTTTTTTTTATTTTTTGCATTAAGCAACAAAATGCTAACCAGCATAGTTTAAAGGATTAGTCTGATCAGGATTACTTGTATGCAGGAAAATAAAGGAAGAGAAACCAAGCACAGTGTCATTTATAGAGCCTACCCACCTTATTTAAAGCTAATCATCCAGAGAAGGCATTATCATCCTTATGAGCAGTCAAAGCAAAGCGTGCTGTGCAAGCTGCTTGGGAACAATTAATTGTAACAGCAAGAGCTAAAGAGCAAGTCATGTTGATGGAGATTTGCAGCATCTTCCTAAGCTCCTCTAGCCTGCAAGTATCTAGGAGAACCATTTCTCAGAGCACTCTATGGAAAAAGTTTGCATTACCCCAGATATCTCATTAGCTACCAGTCAGTTTCAGAAAAATACAAACTAATTAGGCAACAGACATTTCAAAAGCCCCTAGGAAGAGATTTAATCCCTCCTGAATTGATTCTGTGCAATAGCTGTTGGATTCACTCTTTACTTGTATTGATAGATTAGTTTGTATAGCTAAAGAGAGGAGCCTAGCCCTTTTTATCCTATTTCCAAGAAGGATAGAAGTTCTACAGCAAAATTCTGTGGTAGAAGCTGCTGCCAGGCTGGATGGAGAGAATATCTGAACAGCTGAACAGGCAGGCTTTAGAACAACCAGGGCCACTTTGGATTGGGCTTTCATGCTTTATCATTAGCTCTAAAAGTCCATGCTGTTCTCTAAAGCAGATTTCTTTTTTGCCTTTGTACACTCTGAGCAGGCTTTCAGCTCAATATCTAGGATCATGTTTTTCAACCTTCACATATATTTACAATATGTGGACTTCCTATCGTATTCCCAGAATTCCTCAGCCAGCCATGTTTACCCTCATAGAAAGGGGTTATTTAGCTGGTTCAGTCAGATTTTAAGGTGCTGGCCCAGAAATCAAGAGACAATGAATTTAAGAACTCTTCTAGGCATGAACTGCTGGGTCATGCCTAGTGCCTCTTTCTCAGCCCAACCCACCTTGCAGGGTGGAGGTTCTGGTGAAAATAGAAGGGTAGGAGCATTAGGTACATTTCTTGCCTTGAGTTATAAATTAAAAAGGTGGGATGAAAAAGAACACTATCTCAGTGTTAAATACAGTACACATTATAATTCTATATAATTTAGATTCACATGTATATAACTTAATAAAATGCAACCTATTACATTATATGTGTGTATGAGACAAGCCATTTTTCAAAGGTCACAGAAAAAGACTTGCCTTGCGTTCAACACTGGGTTGCCCACCCTTTTAGTAATAATGCTTGGAGCCCAATCCTGTTGAGCTCTGTGCAAGTGCCACTGAGTGATTCTGATGGAAGAGGCGTAATTTGAAACAGGGGGAAATAAGTGATGAAGTTAAACAGAAAAAAACAGATAGAATTGCAACCCTTTGTCTTGCACCAAATTCATCAAGCAGAGGCTGCCAGCTAGCCATTTGGCCTAGTGGTTGAGGAACTAGGCTTGGAACTAGGAGACTCTTAGTTCTAGTGCTGCCTTTGGGCCAGTCACTCTCTCTCAGCTGAACTCACCTCAAAGGGTTGTTGGTGGATGCTTACAGCTCCAGGAGCATGAGTATCAAACAGATTTGAGATGAAAGATTTTGGTTGTTCATTCCTGGATAATTGCTTTATTGGAATCCCTCTTCTTTCTAGGTTTACTTTTGCTTAGAGCAGCCTTTTATAATTTGGCATCCTTCAGCTGTTTTTGACCAACTCCCTTAATCCATAGCCACAATCATTTTTTGCCTATGTCAGTGATGGTGAACCTTTTTCTTATGGCGTGCCAAAATTGTGTGTGCGCTCTCTATTGTGCGTGTGTGCATGCCCGCACCAAATCAATCCTCCCCACCCATCTGCGCTTGCACGTGTGACATCCCCCACGCATGCGCGCGTGACCCTTCCCCAGGTTCCAGAGGCTTTCCTGAAGCCTGGGGAAGGCAAAAAACAGCCCCAACGAGCCAACCAGAAGTTCAGTAATGAACTTCCGGTTGGCCTGTTGGGCCTTTTTTTCAGGAATGAACTTCCAGTTGGCCTGTTGGGCCTGTTTTTCGCCTTCCCCAGCCTCCGGAGGCTTTCCTGAAGCCTGGGGAGGGCGAAAACAGCCTACTCCAGCCCTCTGGAAGATTGAGCTGATTGCTGGCGTGCCAGCAAATATGGCTCAGCATCCCACTTGTGGCACACGTGCCATAGGTTCACCATCACGGGCCTATGTGAACTGTTTAAGTATGTGAATTTTTAAAAGTTAAGTTGCTTAGGAATATATTGTGCATAACTCTGAATCAGCCCTATTCCTAGCTTGTTAAAGAAGATTATTATTTTATAAAACATTTATTGTAGTAATAGAATTCTTTTGGGCACCAGTTAATTTTTTTAAGCATTTATAAAATTGAAATATTCATAAGTATAATTGCATGGCTGTTTCACAATCCTATGCAAACACCAATGAACGCATGAGAATTTAGTTTCACTTAATTCCTATTTTGGTCCAGTCCTCTACAACAGGTAGTTGTGAAAAACAAAAGTTTAAGATTGATAGAAATTATTTAATATTAGTATGTAGGACAATTCCACAGCAGATTATTAAAATATGTTCTGTGAACAAAAATATGCTAATTCTATCCATTTTTATTGGCTAGTTTTCTTAATAGACTTGGAATTCTGTAGACTGTGTCTTTAGTAAGGTGTTTAACAAAGTACTACACATCATTCTGTTTAGCAAGCTTAACTAAATATGAAAATTAAATGGGTATAAAATTCATTAAAAAGTTATATTAGTGGACCGTTCATTAGTTCCTCATCAAGTAGACTGAAATAGGTATACTCTCTTCCTGGATGCTATTTCTCTCTTCCTACTCTCTAATAATTTTAATGAGCATATTTCCTATTTTCTCACTGAAAGTAGGATCATATTCAGTTTCATTATGTAATAGTCACCATGGCTTCTTAGTTGATTTCCTCTAAAATTATCTGCTAGTTCTACAAAATAAAAATAAATTGTAGTTGCTTTTTCTAGTTTCAATTTTGATTTGCAGATCAACGAAGATTCACCCTGGGCCTGTTGTGCATCTAAGCGATAGCCCGAGAGATGAAGGGAAAGTGAGTAAGAAGTACTCAAGTATTTCTTAGTATTTTTGTTTTAGCAGTTTTTGCCCTTTTGCTACAGATAATTAGGTAACTTAAACACACAAACATCCACAAAAATGGTATGGACAATACAATATTATGGAGAAAAAATAATGCATACTCCTTTTGGGTAAGGTTAAACAAATTTTAATAAACAGAATTTTACTGACCTGAACATACAAATACAGTAAATACTTCTGAACTGTACAATGTATATATTAATATTTTGTAAGTAGGCTGTTGGTTCATTATACATTGACAATTATGTATTTTCAATCAGTTTATTTTGTTTTGCTTGATGCAATGCTGTTTAATTGATGAATAAAATATTATAATATGCTTCAATATAAATATTGATTTAAATTTTTATTCCCCCTCCCCTTAAGAGCAAAATGTCAATCAGATCAGAGATGCTGCCTCTCCAAAGTCAGAAAGACAGCCTCCAGTAGTCTTCCAGAGAAAAGTAAACTGGCCTCTGGGCCACCCTGGAGATAGTCCAAGAATGCCAGCCCAATTAAAGAAGGAAGATCAGAGTCTTCCTTGGTAGATAAATCTTTGGCTCCATAACTAATAAAAATAATTTGTTTCCGCTTCATAACTAATGAAAAACAAAGGCAAAACATCTGAAAGAAAACTACTTGTTTAAGTAGATATATATTTTGGGAATCCCTGAATTCTGTAGCAGTAGAAGCTGATGAGAAAATTAACATGAAAAAAGTCAACTAACTGATTTTTCAAACAAAACAGGCTTCTTTTTCCCCCCTATCTTTTCTACCAGCTGGATGCCTAAACTTGGCAAGCCAAGCTGGCACCAGGAGTCCAAGGCCACACCAGAAACTGCTTCATTACCACCGACTAAAAACTATCTGTTCAGCTAAGCCATTCAAGATATCTTGAATTCTCCATACAAAGTATCCATAAAAGCATTTGAAAACTGTTGTAATAATTAAGTATCTGTTCATATTTAAATCACTATTCAAATTCTAAACTTGAGAAAAAATCTGGGTATCTCCTGGATTTACAAATGAATGTTTTGTCTAATCAATATCCTGTATTCACAATCCTTTCTAAAGCTTAGCTAAAATGGTGGACCAGAATACTCCCTATCAAAGACTTATTAAACTAAGAACCAGACTATGTCATTTTCATGATAGATACCTAAACTGGAAGAATGAGGAGCCTTGAAAGCTTTGAAGCATTTTTGCCAATTTAGATCTGAACAAACCACTAAAAAGTTGTGTGCTATTACAGGATTTATATGCCTTCCTAATCACGGAGTCTGGGAAGCTTTGCCATTGCCTTCTAGGATTCATTTCGAAATGCCTTCTCCTAGATATAATGACTTTTATGTTCCTTACGCAGGTAGCTAGTTAGATTGATTGCTGAGAGTAAACATAGGTTCAGCGGACAAAGTTTGCTACCTAGCTAATTTCTAGAGATTTTCAGTCATCAAATGATATTCACTAGATAACCTGCTTGATTGAAAATGTATTATGAGGAAGGTTCCTTTAATTGCGGACCCATTTTGGTGGGCTTTTTAAAAGATTTAATAGACTTCAAGGAAAAAGACGTCTAGCAAACTTTCAGAAGAACTGAAAGCTACAATGTTTATGAATATGGAGTGTCATTTCTTACATGGCTGAAATATAGTTTTTTAAAATACATCTGTGGATCTCGTGATTTTTCTGTCTACAAATTTTTATTCTTCAAATTATAATTGTGAAATTACACAATATGAGAGCTTCTTTGCAGTTAAATTACAAAGGTGGGCTTTGACCACTTCCTAATCCAGTTGAGACTGGGAAATCTGTTTTGATGATCTGAGGGCTCCCAAGAAACCTTGGAGAGTATGTGAGGAGTTTCCTAAAAATCTGGCCAGCACTTCTCTCAGTTGCCTCCCCAGTCTCCGGGTCTTGATACAATCATTCCCAAGACACCACTTGCTAGTCACCAATCCAAGAACATGGAAAGGAGGAAATGTTGTCTGGAACACCAGTAGAGAAACACTAGAAATGAACCTGCAAGAATATAAATATATAATATAAGAAAAGTATCCTTATAGAAAATTGTTTGTGAGAAATCCAAAGCTGAACACCTTGAATTAATATGCCTCTTTGAACTTTTCACTGTTCAGTGACTTGTTCAGCTGCACTAAGTTAGTTAGGGGTGGAAAGACAGTTCCTTTCTTGTTAAATTTATCTTTATACTTAGAATAATTTTAAGAGGACTGTAATCTGATGGTGTGTTAAGTTTGGGAATTGTGTGCTAAAAGCCATTGGAACATACATACATATATACATACAAACATACATACATGTATATTCACTACAGAATCCTATTTTTGTCATGGGATCTGGGTGGGAGGTATAGATTTGCTGGGGCATGGGAAAACCCACATTCCAAAGGGTGGCACCACTTTTATTCTGTTAATTATTTTAATATCAGTTTATTTATTATCTCTTTATTTTTTATGCATTATTCTTATTTAGTTTAATACATTTTTGTTATATTTAGTAATTATAATAGCATTATAAAAAGCATTAGTTTTTGCCCATTAATACAGCAGTAAGATCATTTCATCGTCTTCTCTACCAACAACAAATGTTGCTTTTTCCATCTGTTCCAGAAGTAGGGGAGATGCAGAGTTTGTTCTAATTAGCAGAGAAAGCTTTGCTAAAGAAACAAATTATCTCCCTCTTCTGGAGAAGTTTCAGTATTTCAGCAGAAAAGGAAGAGGGAATTCAGCACAGGGAAGCTGGAGAATAGTGGTGAGCTGTCTGGAAAAGCTTGGATGAGAATTGCAGGAAGTTGAAGAGACAGAATGTGCTGGGAAGAATCAGATAGCAGAGGGGGAAACAGTGCCAGGGTGATGCAAAAGAGGAACAGCCAAGCAGAAAGGCAGAGATGCAATGAAGGAGAAGCATTTAAGAACACAGAGGGAGGAAATGGAAAGCAAAGTGAAAGAAGACTTAGATAAGGATGGGAGAGAAAGGCAGCATTGGAGGGGAGGAATAGAAGGAAATGTGGAAGACAGCCGGGTAATAAAGCTGGTGGGAAATGGAGTGGCAAGTGGATTCAGGCCAAGGAAAAGGTTTGGGAATATGAGGGGCATGGTTGCTTTGGGGAATAAATCGACCCCCTTTTCCCTATGACAACCTTCAAGTATTGGTAGACAGCTATCTTGCACTCCTAAGCCTGCTCTGTGTTAGGCTAAACATACCCAACTCCTTTAGCCGATCATATGCTTTAGCTGCCAGTCTTCTTATCATCTTCGTTGCTTTTCTCTGCATATTTTCTAGGGTCTTGGCATCTTTTTGGTATCATGGTGACCAGAATTGGACACAGTATTCTGAGTGTGACCTTACTAGTGCAGTAAAGAGTAGTGCTATCACTTCTCATGATCTTGATGTTGTCCCACTGTTGATATAACCCAGGATTGCATTGGCTTTTGACAGCTGCAGCACATTGCTGGCTCATATTTAAGTACTGCTCTATTAGAATACTGTTGAAGAAGGTACTATCTGTTCTGTTGATTTACCTGATGATGCTTCTGTTTGCCTATCTTGTTTACTGTAAAGATATTTATTTATATAAAACTGGGTGGGGTCAGCATCTCTGACTCCATTTGGACATTGGCTGCGCAATTCCCTGACATATTATTGCATATGTTACATTTAGCTGCATGTGCTTTACAATAAATATTCTTAACACATATTAATTTGATAATGTTTTCTTTCCCCTCCCTCTTCTCCAGTTATTAATAGGTTATGAAAATGGGACCATAGTATTATGGGATTTGAGATCAAAAAGAGCAGATTTAAGAGCATATTACGATGAGGTAAGCTATTTCTTTTTTTTTTAAAGCACAAGGTATGTACAGTTTTCTGGTTTCTAAAATATTATAATGATTAATGTCTTTCATTTGTCTCAGACATGATGCATACTGAATGGATGGCAGCAAAAAGAAATAAAAGTGCAAAGCTCAGATGTACATGAGATAATCAAGATCAGCCATAATTGTGTTATGCTTGCTATATTCCTCTAATTCAATTTATCAAAACCACATTGCCATGTTACTTTAGGAGATCCAGTTCCTACAAGGCATTTGCTTCCAACCTAGACATAGTCGCCTTCTCAAGAAGAAAATTGGATAATCACATGTCTAAGCTCTGTGCTCTTTGAAAGAAGAATGAGATATTGAATAAATATTTATTTAACATTATCTCAGATTTTAAATAGGCAGAAGGCATACTTTAGAGCTAATGCTCATTAATGTGTGAAACCAGATCCTCTTATTATATACAGTAATATGATGATAAGAAAGAAATTAGCATTCCTTTTTAAGGTAAAGCACCCTAATTCGTATTTCCTGGAATATTGTACCAGCAGGACAATTACTATTATTAAATGTTTCTTCTTCAGATTTTGTGATTTGTTTATACAGGAAATTCCATAGAAAGTTGTGAACATTAGAGAAGGTAACATAAAAAGCCATACATTAATTAAAATTGTCTGATAAACATTTAAAAAAAATCTATATATAAATGTTTTTAATTCTTTACAGTAAGCATTAGCACCTGAAAATTAATATGAATTTTATTGTAATGCAAATTGGTGTGGCAACAGGTTAGAACATGTGTGTGTGTGTGTGTGTGTATTTATATATACACATACATACATACCTCAAGATGGGTGTTAAATACAGTATTGTGAAATTCTTCTCAAATCTAAAGTAGATTTACCTAGAAGAACACTAACATTGTGGATAGGACTTTCTCATTTCATCCTTTTTGCCTGTCATATTTATTTATCATATGTTCTAACCTTTAGTACTGCCTATGCATACTGTTTAAGCAGCTTTTGCTTTCTATTTAAAAAAAGGAGAATTGACTAGGTTTTGGACTGCCAAGGACAGAATGATCTCAACTTTCTAACATACTCTTCACAGAATTTTATAAATTTAATAAATTATGCTTGGGTAATTTACAGTTAGATTCACAGCCTAGATTCTAACTAGTAGAAACCCAATACTGTAACTCAAGTCCTAACCAAGGACCTAAAAGTAATAAGCAATCCCAAAACAACTTGAGCACTACTTGAACACTGTCAATATTAACAAATTTACCATTAATCAGTTGCAAAACGCAGCTTTACTCAGAATAGTTTACCTCCTGCATACTTTCATGCCATCAAACATCCACATCTGCCTGTCCTAGATCCTTGGGAAGTACTCAGTAGGTGAATAGAAATGCCAAATTCAATCTGAACATCTGGCTGATTATGCAATGTACTATAGTAATGCACAGACTGACTACAAACAAGAGCCTAACAAAGTAGCATAATGGTGCATTGAAGATCTACAAGAAATACCATTTGCCTGCAAACAAGAAATGATGGAATCATAAAATAGAGAAAGTACCAGTAATAGAAAACGAAGAAGCTAAAATACTCTTGGACTTCAGAATGCAAACCAATAGGCACCCGCCACATAACACCCCCGATTTAATAATTGTCGATAAGAAAGGCAAAAAAATCTGGATATTCGACATGACAATACCTGGAGATAGCAGAATAGAAAAGCTAGAGAAGATAATAAAACACAAAATCTTGAAAATAAAAGTAGAATGACTGTGGCAAAAAAAAAGCAAACGTAGTGCCAATACTTTGGGTATGGGCACTTTGAATGCAGTCCCAAAACATCTGGAGCACCACTTGAACACTTGGACAAAAATCACCATCAGTCAATTGCAAAAGGCAGTTTCACTTAGAACAGTTCACATCCTGTGACAATATTTTTAACACCATCAAGCATCCACATTTACCTATCCAAATCTTTGTGAACAGGTGAATAAAAATGCCAAATCTATTCTAAACATCTGGGTGACTATGCAACAAAACATAAGAACACCCTAATTATACAGAAAAACACCTTCCTTGGTTAAGATTTGAATTTTGTTAATGCACAGATACTAAGGCCTTTAGGTATGACACTCAGTGTGCTGATAACCACTGAGACAACCATTGCCAGTTTATCCCCTCATCTTTCAACTTCGATTTTCAGATCTTGATACTGTAAGATCCTCTCCAATTCTTTGTCTTCTATTGTCCCCAGGTATTGCCACATCAACCTCTAGATTCATGATGGTGAACCTATGGGATGTGTGCCAGAGGCGGCACACAAAGCCCTCTCCGTGGGCATGCACACCATCACCAGCTGCTCTTCTGGTTTCCAGCATGAACAGGCGTGCTGGTTTTCATGCGTGCAAGTGTGCTGGAAACCCAAAGACCAGATTGGCCGGTGCACATGCACACACGCGCACACACACAAGTGTTCCAGGTTGGGCGCTCGGTGCCAAAAAGGTTTGCCATTACTGATCTAGATCTTCCAAGGCACCTGGGGGTAGAACAAGAAGCAATGGGTGGAAACTAATCAAGGAGAGAAGCAACTTAGAACTGAGGAGAAATTTCCTGACAGTTAGAACAATTAATCAGTGGAAGAGCTTTCCTCCAGAAGTTGCGAATGCCCCAACACTGGAAGTCTTTAAGAAGATGTTGGATAGCCATTTGTCTGAAACGGTATAGGGTTTCCTGCCTAGGCAGGGGGTTGGACTAGAAGACCTCCAAGGTACCTTCCAACTCTGCTATTATATTGTATTATTGTATTGTGTTTCCTGTGGTTGTGGACGGAAGGGTTGGACTTGAAGAAACAGTATAGGAAGAGTGTTGACACTTGAACTTTGAGGTAAGAAAAGATTCCTGAGAATGAGCTGTGGTGGTGCAGTGATTAGAATGCAGTATTGCAGGCTAATTCTGCTGACTGCTGGCAGTT